ACTGCTGGCATGTCAAGTGGTTTGTCAAATGGATGTAGACCAGGTCTGGCACTGATGGCACTGTTTTTAAGATGGCATGCCCCAACTGGCCCTGTTATGGCTTGGTTTATGTGGTGCTGGTCCATGCATGGACCACCTCTGGCAAATCACATGTGYGCCATCAAAGAGTCGTCTTTCGTTGCTGTACCTGGGCTTAGTMTTGGTGCATTGTGTGGGCCACAACTGGGTCAGATAACATTTGTTTTATGAGTCCTTTATCTCTATCTTATGTTTAGCTTGTTGGAAGGCTTTTAGGTAGGATTTTGGAAGAAGACATACACACTTTTAGCCCCTCCACCACCACCACCACCACCCGCCAAGCTTACGTAAGTTTATGAAATTTACATCGGCAAAAAAGTTACAAACATACCAGGGCTGGAGACTGTGTCAGGAGTTGCTGAAGTTGTAAAATGGCACAATTTTTCTTTATGTGCCTTCCCCTGGCTTCATAAAATAGTTGCGGCCCCACCCTCTGCAGTTTACAAACTTTATGGAAGTTTAAGAAATTTCCATAAAGTAAAATAAATAACTCTTGATAAACCTGAACATCGACACTGTGCCTTGAGGGCATCCTGAGGGGCGACAGCTGAGAGAAGGAATTGGAAAATCAAACGGGTTATCTTTACAATGTCCCAATGCCCCTATAGATAGATGTCTGCTTGTTTTGTTTTTTTATGTTTGGTTGTTATTGTGTTTTGTTTGGGTTTTTTTCAGCTCATTTTCTTTTTCCTTTTTTTTTTTTTTGCCATAGATAAAAATTGTTTGTGCCTCATCATCACCCTGGGCCTCAGAACAAAATAGTGAAAACAGAGAAAGTATTCAAAACAAAAAGAAATTCCATTATTCTTCTGTTTTCTCTGAGCAGTGGCGAGCAGCGCTAATCCAAAAATTAGCTCCGCAATTCTAAAGCGCTTATGAAAATATTTAGGTCCGCAACTACAAAAGCGCTTACGCCACAGAAAATCTCGCGGAAGCTAATTTTAAAGCACACGTTCATTTTGACACTTACCAGCAGTAGCTGGCAACAATTCATGTACAATATATGCACAACACTGCCAACTAGCGGTGTATGAACTTTATTACAACTTAATTCTACAACCGCCGAAATGAGAACCTTGACCGAAAGCAACAGTCAGCGAGGACTAATAGGACCAAAAAGTGTGTTTATCTGGGAGGGGTGCCGTTGGATAGATCACGTGCATTGTGATTCATTGACAGTCATACCTTACGCTGTTCAAGATAATGATGACTGGTAGAAAATTAGTTATTAGCGGTACTGCATTTTAATTTTAAAAAGCGCAAATCCGCTTATGAATTATAAAAATTAGTAAGACCGCTAAAGCGCAAATGAAATATTTAGGTCCGCAATTAGCAGATTTGCGCTTTAGCGGGCTGGTGCCCAACACTGTCTCTGAGTATTTTGTCGTTTAGCCCAACACCTTAAATAAATATGCCTCATTCATCCATTTTTTTTGTTTTGTTTTCCTAACTGGTGTTCTAACCTCAACTCTGGTGTATTTTGGTTATAATATTTCTCCAGAAACGGRGACAAAATAACAGAAATTCAACCCTATAATCCAGATCTTTACACAGGATGTCAGACTTCAGATGAAACATAGCAGAGTTTTATAACTCAAGAATAAACCTTTAACATGTCTTCGAACAGGAAAAGGTGTACATGGCACGAGTTCGCAGGCCACTGTGTCACTTGTTAGCAGCCATAAATCAGTCTCTTTCTGCGCCACGGTGCAGAGTCTGCAGCAGCAGATGACCTCAAAATGTTCACCTACTTTACTCATCTTGACGAGGCCTGAAGGAGCCGGGCCTCAGTAAACGCTCCCAGATGCAGGATTTGTACACACACACACACACACACACTCACATAGATTCATATGCGCAGAGGCATAGCTACAAAGATCTGGACCCTGATAGGAGGGAATGCTCAGTGGGACGTTTGTAAACTCATCTAAAACCTCACATTTATGACATGGTAAACACAGCGTGCCTCTTTTGATTCAGTGACAAAACTACACCATGTTTCGTGCTGAATGTAACATTCAGTGAAGGAAAAAAGAAGCATCACCTCCTTATAGCTCAAACTTTTTTCTACCCTAAACAGATGTTATAAAATTATAGCATTGGACCCATCCCAGTCATTTGTTACGCACTGGTTCCAGCCACTAACTGATGATTTTACAAGGACATCTAAATCAAATGAGATTTTGGGGAAATTTAAAAGGGTTTTTTCGCCATTCTTTTTATAGATTTCTTTAAATGCAGTCACATTTACAACAGCACCATTAAAACAATCATGCACCTTTTGCACCTAACCTGTTTATTTGCACCTACGGTCCATCAATCAAAGCAAGCGATGCTGGTGAGGTTTTTCACTTCAGGGCCTCGAGGCTGAAAGCTCAGAGAGTCAAAACAGTGAAAGCCGAGCAAGACGGTCGCTAACGACAGCTCACAGTCTGCAGAGCTACCATGACTGCAGAGGGGCCGAGCAGCTCAACAACTCAAGGGACCCTGTAAAAACTGTTAGCTTAACATCAAGTATACGYTCGTTAAGGAGGAAGTCAACATTAGTCTCTACCGCATACATCACATTTAAGTGTTTTTGGAAAGTTTGATTCAAGTTCCCTCATGTTTAAGTAGGGATCTGAAGGTCTTTGAAACAAGCTTTGCTTTACAGAGGAGGTTCAATGACTCCTCGGCTGTTTTTGTTTTTGTTTTATTTTGTATTTTTATTGAGGTAAACAAAGTGCACGACTCCTGCTGCTTCGGCACTTTGCTGAGGTTCTCTGAGTGCTTTCTACAGTGCCTTTTTAGGATATTTCATCACCACAGACACACAGTAAATAATGGTTTGTGTGACAGATTGAAGAAAATGTAAAACTCAACTTCTGAAAGTTGTTTACATGCAAAAAATGGTGCAGGATACAAACTTTCTTCCTTTATGACTCTCTTCCTACATTTTCAGCTGTTCCTGCTTTTGTCGTGCCTTTTTTTAGTGTTCTGTCTCCTATTGTTTTAAATTCTGCTCATTGCTCCTTGTAAGACAAAATAATAATTTACATTGTTTCATGAGAGATACGGGTACACAACTCAAACATTAGGAAATAGGCTACTAATAAGTAGCAGCTGGTTTTCGAAATTTTCTAGACGGACTGTCTCGTCTGTGGATTTAAACAAATAATGTCCTCACAGTGTCCTGAGGTGTCTCATTAGACTGCTTTGAAGCTAGTAATTAAAACTTTAGATATGGAATTAGAGTTACCTTAATTGACTGCCTTGTTGAGAACAGGATAAAAAGATTTATAACAAATAATATTTGGCTTAGCTAAGTTGATTAAACAGGCAGTTAGCTAGTCAATTTCACTGAGGGTCATCCCTATTTTTCCCAGTACCTATGTTCCCTGGAGCATAGGAACAGGTAAACATAAGAACTGGGAAAGACAGATACTGTATGTGGGACCATACATGCTGTGGAGCATGGGTACTGTAGAACATGGAAACAAGGGAACATAGGTACCAGAAAACATAGACACTGTGGAACATGAGAACTGGGGAACATATGAACTGGGAAACAAGTACTGTGGAGCAAATGTATTGGGAAATATAGGTACTGGGAAACTTAGGAACTGAGGAAAATAGGAACTGGGGAACATACAGTGGATATACTGGGGAACACTGGGAAACAGGTACTGTGGAACATACTGGGAAACTTAACTACTGAGGAACATGGCATCTGGGGAACATAGACAATGGGAAACTTGGGTACCGGAAAACATAGAAACTGGGGAACAAAGGTACTGGGAAACGTAGGTACTGTGGAACATAGGTATGAGGGAACATGGGAACTGAGAAACAGGTACTGTGGAATATAGGTACGAGGGAACATTGATACTGGGAAACTTAGGTACCAGGGAACATAGGAACTGGGGAACATAGGTACTGGGAAACGTAGGTACTGTGGAACATAGGTATGAGGGAACATTGATACTGGGAAACTTAGGTACCAGGGAACATAGGAACTGGGGAACATAGGTACTGGGAAACGTAGGTACTGTGGAACATAGGTATGAGGGAACATAGGCACTGGGAAATTTAGGTACTGTGGAAGACAGGAACTGGGGAACATAGAGTAGGTACAAAGAAACTTAGATACAGTGGAACATAGGAACTGGGGAACATACTGGGAAACTTAACTACTGAGGAACATAGGAACTGAGGAACATAGGTACCATGAAACATACGTATCAGGGAACATAGGTACTGGGAAACATAACTAGGAAACACGGGTACTGTGGAACATGGGTACTGGAAAACATAGGTACTGGGTACATACTGGGTACATACATAGGTACTTACTGGTGAAGTGAGGTATGGAGATTTAAACCATTGCCATGTTCCACATCTCATAAAAAGGTAGCTAAATATCACAAAACTAGTTTGTAGCTTTGATGACATTGCAGCAGGACTTTAGTATGAGTTTATAGACGAGACTTTGATAGCCTCCCAACAAGTAAATCATTGTAGTTTTCATAACCTGGTCATGTCAGTACCTGTTTGCAAAACTGTAGGCCTGGAGAGTTGGTTTGAGTTCAGTGTGAGACTTTTTTTTGTTAGTCTTGTCCAGATTTTTCAAATCTTATTTTATTATTTGTTTTTAGTTCTATTGTTGAAATTTTGGCATCAAATCTTTTCAGTACAGAAGAAGGCTCTGGCTAGAAAAGCAACTTTTCAAAGCGTTGCCTGTTTTGTAACAAAGCAACCTTTCTGTGATGTGGTCCAAAAGACTCTTTGCATCAGCGATTGTAAAATGACACAGTGCTGCAGTTTACAAATACGTAAAGTGAAAACAGTTTATTCTTGTGAATTGGATCATTTCTTGGTAACGTTGCAAGATTGTGGCTCTGTTGTACTTTTCTTTAATATTGTCTTTTTTCTGCACCCAACAGGGTCCGCTTGGCTTGGATGGCAAACCGGTAAGTAGTTTTATGGTCAGATTTATAAATGTGTTTTAGGTAATTGAGTTTTGTTTTTAATTATCTTTTGTTTGTTTTATACCTCAGGGTTTGCCAGGTCTAAAAGGAAGTCAGGTAAAGCATCACGCATCTTTTATACTCTAATAACAAATTTATTATTATGAAGAATTTACGATTCTTTAACAGTATCCAGGTGAGTCATTTTTTTAGTGGCCACCCCATTAAAAAACATCAGAGACACCACTTGGCTGAGATAAGACTTGATTTGTCAAATGACCTTCAACTAAGAACATTTTATGCAGAGGCCTTTATCTGTCAAGCTGTGAAACATCAAGCTGTCCTTTCATTTATCACTTGTAAAACTAGCTTCAAATCAATGAGGTGTATTGAGTAGAGGCATCACGCATGCTTCAGATGATTGACCGCTGTAGTACGAGCGCAATGCCATATTGTTGATATAAAGTTTCACTGATGTGCTGACCTAAATTTAACATACTGTATTATAGTTATTTCACTCAGCTTCACCAACGTGTCCTTGTCTCGAACATTATGGCCACTCTATCTGACCAAGAAAAGTCTCATGATAGCACCCCTACCCAACACAACACATTATTTCTGTTACCATGGGCTGCACCACATCTACCTTTGATATGAAGAGGTACAAGAAAAAAAACTGTTTTCTGCTGGTCACTAACAAACTGCTTAGCCGTCACCTCTCCTGTCTAAACAAAACAGCTGGCACAAAAAAATTACACTAAACTGAGGTTGAGATTTATATCAGCTTTAAAGAAAAAGGGTACATTTATGTGAATAAAGATGTAAGGAAAGGGGGGATTCAAGGGAAGAGGAGGACCAGTCCTTTTAAAGCAGGGGTATCAAAATCATTTTCACCAAGCACACATGAGCATTGTGGTTGCCCTCAAAAGGCCATTTGTAATAAACTTCAATGTTTTATGTTTAACTTTGACTAAAAACAAAAACATCACATTTCTTGCTACAGCTGAGCAGTGCTAACAAAAAATAGCTGCGTTTCCATTGACCATAAAAATGCGCAAATTAGAATTTCGAAAATAAATTTGCTCAATGGAAACACGTCAATTTTGATAAAACTTCATTTTTTTCAACAAAATGTTTTTGCGCTAGAATGGGGTGGTTTTTCGGCTGTATCAAGATTGGTGTTTTTCGCAAAACTGCAATGGAAACACTTTTTTCGCATCACGGGAGTCATGTGATCAACAACCGGCTGTTTCTACTGGTGAAAAAGATGATGACGAAGAAGACAACAGGAAGTAGAAGTAGTAGTAAAATCACTGAAGTTGTAAAAAAAAAGTAGTAAACTCACCGACTACAATTTCCCAAAAATGCTGCATACGTAGCCGCTCCCAATTATAAGGGGCTTMTCCCTCGAAAGCCTTGATAAGACACCGACGTCTCCTCTGATGAGCACTAGTGTCGTGGTAGCAATTATGCATGTGTTTACATCCATTGCCACCATGTTTGTAATGACTTGTCACGAGAACAAACATTTTCACGRGTGACTTTAATAGCATTTCTTACTTAATGGAAACACCGCAATTGCAAAACTGTTTTTTCAACATTAACAAAATATCGACAAATTTTGCACACATTTGCAATGGAAACACAGCTAATGACTGAGCTCTACATGGTATTTCATGCACAGAAACAGTGTTTTAGCATGTCCTCTTACAGACACTGAAAAGTATTACATGCATGAAAGGAACTCCCCATTGGAGTCCAGTTTGTACAGTATTTATGACTTGTAAGTGGGAAATTTCCACTTCCCAGTACAACTGGGCAGCAGCAAAAGTAGCCAACGTAAATGCATTTTTTACACAGCAAACTTCGCTGGCTACTTTTGAACCCTGTGCCTCTTTACCTAGTGGTGTGATACCATCTCTTTGTGAGTAAAATAGTCTACATGCATTATGGGAGATGTAGTTTGTGGTTAATGCAGGCATTAAAGCTGCATACACTTTTTATAAGACATTAATATATGAAGCTAGAAGAGTCTCAATAATGCACACAGGATGATTTACATGTGCACAGGACAATTCATACGTGCGCAGAAAAATTCACATGTGCACAGGGAGATTCACCCATGCACAGGACAAGTATTGATGCCCACACAAAGATATCTTGATTTAGAAAGTGCTTGTACTRTATGGACTTTACTACATTTTGTGTGAATTTTGGGACTCCCCAGACTTTGTTCAACTCACGTGCATTTTTTTTAAAACAGGAAAGGATCTGTAACCAATCAGATACCTTCCTTGTTTCAGCCAATCATAGGAATGCATGAATTACCTATAGGCCAATCACAGTACCTRGTTTGAACTGTGCTGCATGGATACAACACGGGTCGAATGTGCACATGTGGATTGTCCTGTGCAGGTGTAAATCTTCCTGTGTGCATTTTTGATTACTGAGACTCGTCAAGCTCCATATTAATACATTTTTAAAGCTCTCACGGGCCACAAACAATGCCATGGTGAGCAACATTTGGCTCATGAGTTTGACACATGTATTTTTAAAGTTTGAGCCACAAGCCTARATTCAGCAATGCGCTACCAGTTAATGGCCAAAAACAAAGGGGAATCAAACTTTTATGTGCTGGGACTGGAGATAGATGTTGGTTTTTCTGCATTCTCCTTTGTTTTCTGTCCGTCACAGTCATACAGGGCCTGTGGTCTGTTTGTGGTTTGGGTTGTCGCCATGTTTGGCATCTTTGTGCCGCTTGTGAGTGACAGACAGACAGAAACAAATGGYCAAACTCTTCTCATCTGTTTGCCCAATGTTCATAAATACTGTCCAAAAACAAAACAAAACAAAAAAACACAAAGTGGGACTGTGTGTGTCACTGAGTACACACTAAACCCTTGTGTTCTCAGTTAGGATTCATTCATCTTTACGTAGCATTTAGCTTCTTCTGTCTTGATGTTTCTTATCTCTCACGTATAATCCGTGCATCATTTTGGTCTCCTTGAACTGGGATTAAGCTGTCTCTCTGTCACAGTTTTGCCTGAATGCTTGATGGAACATTGGCTGCTTAAGCCAAATGGAAGATATGTTGCTGTGATGTGTGTGTGAGCCATAAGTTACCTGATTTATTTGCACCGACTGTCTCTGATTTTCTCCTCCATTCTGCAGGGACTGCCCGGACTCAAGGGAGAGAAGGTAAGCTTTGATAGGAATTTTGACATGTTCAGGCAATGTCCGGATGTATTGCTCATCTTAATTTAGTCACACGCACTTTTGGAAACACAGGTGATCACCCTAGGTGTTCAGATGTTTGCATCCATCACATGAGGCAAATAGGAGGACTCTCTCCCTCTCATGTCAGGGCACTAAGGAGGATGCTTGATGGTATCCAGATGTTTTCCCGTTCTGTGAACCTCTGGCCAGCTTAAGATGTTAGAGTCTCTAAGTGCTGGCAGAGGAAGCCTACCATGTGGTCACTGATACCRACACTTTTGGGTTACTTTGTTTTTGTGTAAATGAATGTTTGCTTTTACCCTCAAGCGACAATCCCTCAGATTAGCCAAAAGCACAGCCTAAACAGTAAACAGCATCTGCCAGAACAGAGTTGGCTCTGATTAGCACAATGCTAAGTTTTTTTAAAAAGTAAAAAAAAATTCCCTGTTATTAGAAAGCTAAATCCTCATTAAAAACCCACTTGTCACTGTGTACACCCACTTTGACTGAACTGATCTCATCCTGTCAGATTTATGGCTTATCAAATGGCTTAATGTCTACATCCTGTGGTGGTTTGGACAGATGACCCTTGAGTTCCTTCCTATAAACATGTTTTTTGTGAGCCTATCTGTCACAGCTGCTCCTCAGTATTTGTTGCTCCTGTGTAGATTTGCATTGTTGAGAATTGCTGACAATTGTTTTTTTCCTGTTATTTTTCTCTCAGGGTGACCAAGGAGACATCGGGCCAAGGGTAAGGCAGCTTTTTTGTTCATCTCTGGTGGCTAAAAATAACATGTTTGAAGGATTTATGCTCATTTTTGAGGTTTTTACTTTACCACAGAAAATTTTAAAAAAATGAAGTATTTTCCATGAATCGAYGAAAATGAACATGCTTCAGTTTTGTTCTCCCTTATTTCTTCTGTTTATCTTTTGGTTTTTAGTTATTCTCTCCTTTGTTTAGGTCAGGATGTTTTCTTCCAGTTAGTCATTTTCATGAATTTTCTAATAATTCATGAAAAATTTATTCCATGAAAATTTAGGAGCCCAGTAAGGCACAGGGAACAGCAGACATGGCAGGAAGCACAGAGGAATACACAGAACTAAATTCAGGACTCACAAAACACAGAAAATAAGCATGATAACCAGAAAGGAAGAACTCAAACATTAAAATATGCAGATCCTGACAGCATCACGTCTGAAAGGAGGCCAGCAAAGCATCAACGTGGACCATAAATGAAGAGAAATCTCATCACAGCTCAATACTATTCATACATCTCTCAACATGCTCAAACTCTGAATAATTCAAACAGTATTTCTGCTGTGCATCTTCCCCAGTAGCTGCTCTCTGTTCTCAGTCCTGCTCCTGTGATGAGCTTTCAGTTGCCCACATGTCTGAAGCCAGAGATGAGAAATGACCCACTTAAATCTCACCATCAAAACTCAACTGAAGACAGCCAAAGCTGCCGCCTGGCCTCAGACAAAGATTGTTTTAATAACATTTAAAATAATAATAAAAAAACTGTTTCTATGTGTCTGGTTCCTCCTGTCAGTTTTCCTCTCAAATGATATCCTCCCTCCATGAGATCCATGTAATTATTTTCAGTTTCATTCAGTGTGGTTTGAAAATCAGCCCCCTGTGCTTTTTCATGGTTTGGCTTCTTTAAAAAGAGTCACAGACCCCATGAGTTATTCGTGTTTTTCTAGTTTTCTTTTCAAGTTCAGAAGAGAATATCGGGTCAGGCCCTTTTTCAGAAAAACAAATCCGGGGGGTTTAAACCACACCTTTCTGAGTTTGGTCTGACTATACAGAAAGAAAAAAGTGACTATTCAGCACTAACCTAAAGTTATTAAAACAATTTTAACCTTCTGTGTTTGCATTAAGGTAACAATTTAGGAAAATAAATAATTGTGATGTTTTTCTTGCTTAAAATAATTCATTACAACGTTATTACCAGATACGGTATTTAAAATGATCTTTTTACTTATTAAATAAAAGTTTGTTGCCTCGAGGCAACATTGTACCATAACGGACAACCCAATTTGGTATTGTCATGCAAAAACAAGAATATACAGTATATATAAAAATAAATAATTGTGATGTTTTTCTTGCTTAAA